CTCGTGATCTTTCTCTTGCTCGATCAATCTTTGCAAAACTTCTTTTTCATTGCACTCATTAGGGCGAAAAATTAACAACATTAGTTTTCTCTTACCTTTCAAAACTGCTTAACTGAAAGTGAAACTGAAAGTCATGAAGCGGAACATTATAAGTCGAACAGGTGTTAAATACATTTTATTGTAAGTTTCTGTATTTTAGAAATAATCGTAATTCAGGAAAACGTATTTTAAGACTATTCAGGGAAAAATAAAAACAGTTACTGGTCGACATCAGATTCTGCATACCGGATCGTAATTATTGAACATGTTGAAAATTATACACCTTATTCCAAAATGGCTGACTAGCCCTTGATGTCTCGTTTTCATAAAATTATTCTTTTGTCTTTGAGCTTGAGTGACTTTAAAAGAAAAGAACAATTTCATGAAAACGAGACATCAAGGGCTAGTCAGCCATTTTGGATTAAGGTGTATTTTTCACATGATTTTTTCAAAACAACAGATCTCAATTCTACACCGTCCTTATATAACAATATTTTGCTTATTTCATGTTTTTTATTGTAGCTCTACCAATTTTTTATTAATATATTTCAATTCGATCCGTCGATCTATTTAGGACGAGGTCTCTGATATACTTACTTCCTTTAGAATTTTTTTCTTGCTTTTGACCGACAGTAGTATCTCTAGTGAACGTCTCGCTTACGCATTAGATTATTTTGGAAACTATTTCCATGAAAGGTGATCAAAAATGAAAGCTCTACAAAGTTTTTATTATATATCTTTGATTCTACTAACTGCTTTTAAAATCTTTTGCATAGTATTATTAGTCCGAAAAACGAAAAAAAAAAGAAAGAAAAGACATAATAGATCAGAATACATTTAGAAACTTCAAGCTATTAATCAAAAACCTGGAACTTCCAACATGCATGAATTGAAAGTATCTTTATCTGTATAAGAATTGTAATTCCGAAAAACGTATTTTATTCAGGGAAAGATAAAACAACTGCATGCTTGGGGATAGTATAATTGCTTCGTCGATGTTAAACATCATATTGACGAGCGTACGAGCGAACATTCTATCCTTCCTCGGACATTGTAGTTCTTGCCCTAACAGTAATTTTTAACAACAGATCATCTCAGTCTACACCTTATTTTCTAACTATTCGCGGAAAGACCAAACAACCTGTCGGTGACAGTCTATCTTTCGTTGATGTTAAACATAATTTACGATATAGTTCGTATAGAACTCTTTGTTGTAATATTTGTTTTGGGCTCCCTTTGGCCCCTGATTGCATTATGAGCCCCCCCGGTTTACGTGGGCTCTTGGTTGCTTTGTAGTTGGTTTTCCTGAGTAGACATTCACTGTATTTTGTAGAGTTTTAAGACACAAAATCACTATTAAAAGAGATTATTACATGGTGTCAGAAGTGCCTAAACATAGAAGAATACTCGTTGGCTAAGATACGTCGACAAACACAGAGAAAAGATGGCAGAAAGTGGGGAAATGTCTCATCGAACTCCTGGACCTCTCSTTTTGGATGCAAACGCGTCAGAAAATTGGAGAAAGTTCAAAATGCAGTTTGACATATTTCTGGTTGCAAAAGGAAAGGACGAAAAGGAAGATAAGTTGAAAGTTAATTTGTTACTTAACTGTGCTGGTCCGAGTGCAATTGAAGAATATAGCCATTTTGTTTTTAATGAGKGAGAGAGTAAGGAGTCTTATGAAATCGTTTGCCAAAAGTTCGAGGAACTTTGCCGAGGCGCGAAGAATGTCATTTATGAGAGATTGTTATTCAATCAGAGAAATCAAAAAGAAGGAGAGAGGATTGACACCTTTGTTAGTGAGTTGAAAAGACTTTCGYTAAACTGTGACTTTGGAACACTGAAAGATTCATTGATAAGAGATCGTGTCGTGGGAGGTGTGATGAGTGATGAATTGAGAGGGGAGCTATTAAAAAAGCCGGATCTCACCCTGCAAACGGCACACGACTATTGCAGAACTTATGAAGCGACAGAGCTACAAAAGTACAAATTTGTGCCCCAGTCAGTAGTCACAAATAAGCCAATATCTATACAGCCAGTCAAGGGTAATAAGCCGTCTTGTACGTTCTGCGGTTATCGACATCCGTTTACTCACCCAGCACGATGCCCGGCATTCAAAAAGCAGTGCAAAATTTGTAATAAAACAGGTCACTTTGCAAAGATGTGTAGAAACACACAGAAAAAAGATTCAGAAGTGCATGCAGTTGAACAGGAATATRACTCAAGTGACAGTGATGAAACCCACGCATATTTTGGATCCATTGAAGTTGGAAGTGTGTTAAAGAACAAACAATCAAAGAAGAGTCTGATAAATGTCAAAATAGCAGGAAAAGAWGTAAAAMTGAAAGCAGACACGGGTGCAGAGGCTACTGTCATCCCCTACAACATGTACAAGAGTATCACTAACAAGCCATTGAGAAGTCTACATCAGCCGTTGAAGGGTTGGCTTGCAACCAAGCCCATCTACCCTAAAGGATGTGTCCGCCTGCCAACGCAGTATAAAGAYCGGAAGATAAATCTGTTATATCTTGTCGTCGATGGAGATTTTACACCACTACTCGGTTGTGAGGCTTGTCTCGATCTAGAAGTCCTACAGTTCATGGATCTCTCATTACTAGACTCACCATCAACTCCAACCAACAGCCATCAAAGCAAGGGTACCACAACCCTCACAAGTGATCCTGTCCTGAAAGACTACCTCGATTGTTTCAGTAACAAACCAGGAATGTTACCAAACCAAGTACACCTAGAGGTAGACTCCACTGTTACCCCAGTGATAAATCCACCAAGAAAAATTGCAGTCTCCATGTTTGACCCAACTCGACAGAAGTTAAAAGAGATGGAAGAAGATGGCATTATTGTGAAAGAAGAAGAACATACCCCATGGGTTTCCTCGATGGTAGTGATCGATAAACGAAAAGGMAAAGAAAGGAAAAGTCCGCCAACCAAAGACAATATCAGAATATGTATAGACCCCCGTGACCTCAATACAGCACTAAAGAGACCCCACTACCCTATGGCCACAGTTGAACAAGTTGCCAATAAGCTCACCGGTGCAGAGATATTCTCAACATTGGATGCATGTAGCGGTTTTTGGCAGCTCCCTGTAGACGAAGAAAGCTCCAAGTTACTGACGTTCAATACCCCCTGGGGAAGGTACAGGTTTACTCGACTTCCATTTGGCATTAGTTCTGCGCCTGAGCTGTACCAACGAGAGATGGACCGACTCTTCTCAGAAGTACCAGTAGAAATTATTGTAGACGACTTCTTGATACATGGACGAAATCAACAAGACCTCGATGATAAGATGATTGCAGTATTGAAGAGGAGTCGTGAGATAGGCYTAAAGTTCAATCCACGCAAGGCTAAACTTCGAGTTCCAGAAGTCAGCTACGTTGGACACCTCTTTACTGCTGACGGTTTAAAACCAGATCCTGAAAAGGTACGAGCCATCAACGAGATGCCCGCCCCAACCGATAAAGATGGCATTCTACGCTTCCTGGGAACAGTAAACTACCTGGATAAATTTATTGAGCACAAACCTGATCTTCAAGGTCCAATTTCGCAGCTAACTAGGAATGATTCAACATTTGTATGGGAAGCACCACAACAACAGGCATTTGAGAAGCTTAAATCAGTCATTACCTCTGCGCCAGTGTTAGCCTACTTTGACAACACAAAGGAGACAGTGCTCAATGTTGATGCCAGTGGCACAGGACTAGGTGCTGTTATAATGCAGGATGAAAAACCAGTCACGTTTGGCTCGAAAACACTATCACCTGCCGAGACCAGATATGCTAACATCGAACGGGAATTACTAGCAATTGTCTGGGGAGCTGACAAGTTCCATACGTATGTTTATGGACGGCGTGTCGTAGTAGAAACTGACCACAAGCCACTCGAAGCCATTTTTAAAAAAACTTTTGAATGAAGCACCCCCAAGATTGCAAAGGATGTTGTTAAAGCTGACAAAGTATGATCTTGAAGTTCGTTATGTACCAGGAAAGAAACAATTCATCTCAGATTGCTTGAGTAGAGCCCCTATTAGTGACACTGAACCAGTTAGTGAACCAGAAGAGATGATTGGAATCAACTTGATCGACACTCTTGGTGTAGATAGTGGCACCTTGCAGAAATTCAGAGAAGCTTCAAACTGTGATGTTACCTCTCAGGTTGTCATGGAGTATGTTGTTAAAGGTTGGCCAGCAGAAAAGCATCAACTAGATGAGCTAGCAAGAGAATACTGGAGTTTCCGRGAAGAACTTAGCGTGGAAGATGGTTTACTTTTTAAAGCAGACCGAATTGTTGTTCCGAGATCTTTGAGGCCCGAGGTGTTAGAAGAAATTCATGGTGCACACATGGGTGARAACAAAAGTCTCAGTTTTGCAAGAGAGTATGTTTTCTGGCCTTCAATGACTGCACAGATAAAAGACAAGGTTAGTTCATTACCCATATGTAACGCCTTCCGCAATCAGCAACCAAGAGAGACCCTACATCCCCATGAGATTCCCGGATTACCATAGCAAGTGGTCAGCACTGATATCTTCGAATATGGTGGTCATTCCTATCTACTGGTGACAGATTTCTATTCAAAGTACTTTGAGATAGAGCTGTTGAGCCAAACGACTGCCAGTTGCGTGATCAATAATTTAAAGAAGATCTTTGCCAGGTTTGGCATCCCAGCAGAAGTGTTGAGTGACAATGGTTCGCAGTTTAGCAATACGAGAAACCTCTTTAACAATTCTCATGAATTTAAAAGATTTGCCGACGAATGGGGATTCCGTCACATCACAAGCTCTCCAGAGTATCCACAATCCAATGGAGCCGCCGAGAAGGCTGTACAGACAGCAAAAAGGATTTTAAAGAAAGCGGCTGCTGACCATAAAGATCCTTTTGAAGGATTGCTCAAATACAGGAACACACCCTTTGATGACCTGGGTGTTTCACCAGCTCAGCTGCTAATGAGTAGAAGAACTCGCACCCAACTGCCGACTCACCGACGTTTGCTACTGCCCCAGCCTGTGGACCCAAATCAGGTAGTAAAAACATTGAAACACCGTCAGAGCGTTTCAAGAGGTTATTACGATGGTCATAGTCGTGACCTCCCTCCACTACAAGTTGGGGACAAGGTGCGAATCCGTCCTAATCGAGAGACTGAGTGGAGGAAAGCTGAAGTGTTGCCCCGGTCYTACTTAGTAGGAGATGAACGTGGGCGAGTCTACAGAAGAAACCGACGTCAAATCATTGCAACACCTAAGGATCAACCGATGAGCCCAACTCCTTTAGTTACACCGGCTATTCCGCAACCTCCACAAGTAAGGATCAAGAGCTCCACACCATTAGACAGACCTACGACAGAATCACCAAAGCTTTCAGTGGTACCTGATGGCGGGCAGCAGGCACCCATGACCACTGCGTCTGGAAGAGTCATCAAGAAACCTCAAAGACTTATTGAAAACATTTAACATTTAACATTAACAATTTTAACATTTACATAACAAGGGAGATGTTGTAATATTTGTTTTGGGCTCCCTTTGGCCCCTGATTGCATTATGAGCCCCCCCGGTTTACGTGGGCTCTTGGTTGCTTTGTAGTTGGTTTTCTTGAGTAGACATTGACTGTATTTTGTAGAGTTTTAAGACACAAAATCACTATTAAAAGAGATTATTACACTCTTGAAACCAATACGAGGCATTTTCTATACTTCATCCTCCAGTTCTTCATTTCTTGGCCGCATGGTATCTCAGTTCTACGCCTTATGGCTGGCATTAAAATATCCTTGAAAACGTTTCCCATTCCATTTAAAAGTCTCAATTTGCCGCCGTTCACGATTGTTATTCGACTAAAATGGATCTATTTCGACCTCTAGCCATCAACGCAATGAAAGCAAAGTAGTTTTCTCCAGTTTTTACTGTCTGGAGACTCTCTAGGAATTATTTGGATATATGTTTATTTTGGCCAGTTACGGACGGTGTATATAAAGCATGATTTGCTACCCGGCTTTTCGTGTGCATCCTAATGCATTTTCAACTCTATCATTCCTCTGTCGTTCATTATATTCTCACTCATCTTTGATGGGAAATATTCACTGATTTATGCTGTAAGATAGTTTATGATAAACATTGGCTTCACACTGTGAACCCAAAAGTGAAATTTTGCATACCAAACATTGAGTGTAGGCACAGTCCTTTTGGTCGCGTTCATGTAATCTCAGTTAGACAAATTGGTTGGTCATTGCTGCCCGAAGAGGTTTTTTGAAATAGGTGTATGTTCTGCATGGATTGATTCCGGCAAACGCCATGAAACTAATTCTGCTAGCGGTTGTCTCAGTCTGTAGTGTTTGTTCAAGTAAGCACRTGAATATTCATTGAAATCTTCTAAGCTATCTTTTTTGAAAAACTACRGYAAA